CCCATGAATCAGACACTGCGTCAGCTTTTATCTGTATCATGCCACCTGCATCATGCATGAATGAAATGCGCCAAAAGACAGATACAAATATTGGCATCGTGGAGACTGAGCAATATATTGATGATATCACGGATATCAGCAACTTTATTCAGATATCAAGGAATATGCCATCAGATACCCATGACAATGTCTTTTCAAATTTGATGGAAACAGTCACAAATGCCTAGATCGTTGAGGTACACTGCTTTGAGCCTAATGATCTATATTTCTCTGTTTGTTTCCTCACCGTGGAAATAAGGGTGACACAACAATGATAGAAGCATGACTTGTATTTCCTACAGCCTTGTATAAATTGGGAGGATTTCGAATGTCAGTGATTTTCCACTCTTGGTTGGAGAACAAAACAACACGTTTTCACCACTTAAGTACCTTTCAACCATTGTGTTCTGATTTGGACGAATGCTCTGTATATTTGCTTTCACTTCATTTTTACCCTGAGGTGAAAAACTTTTTGGGTCTTGGGGAGTGGTGGCGGAGGCTCCCATGAGTTAATATTAAACACTAGTGACAGCAATAGATCAACTGGTAATTACAAGCGATCTGCTCGCTGGTGAATTCAGCAGATTGGTACAGACCCTGAAGCTGTGACATACTATGTAGACCCGTTAAGCACGACATGATACAGTATTAGTGTTACATTGGACTATGATCGTACATTTAATACAGCTGATACAGTATTAATGTTACATTGAACTATGATGTACATTTAATACAGCTGATACAGTATTAATGTTACATTGAACTATGATCGTACATTTAATACAGCTGATACAGTATTAATGTTACATTGAACTATGGTCGTACATTTAATACAGCTGTTACAGTATTAATGTTACATTGAACTATGGTCGTACATTTAATACAGCTGACAGCTAATGTAGTATTTGTTTATACTATGATCGTACAGTCGCTTTTACATTGAACTATTTATGTACATTGAACTACAGCTGATCAGTAATAATGTTACATTGAACTATGATGTACATTGCTACAGCTGATACAGTATTAATGTTACATTGAACTATGATCGTACATTTAATAACAGCTGATACAGTATTAATGTTACATTGAACTATGATCGTACAGTTAATACAGCTGATACAGTATTAATGTTACATTGAACTATGATCGTACAGTTAATACAGCTGATACAGTATTAATGTTATATTGAACTATGATCGTACAATGTTAATAACAGCATGATACAGTATTAATGTTACATTGATCTAACTATGATCGTACAGTTAATGTCAGCTGATACAGTATTAATGTTACATTGAACTATGATCGTACATTTAATACAGCTGATATAGTATTAATGTTACATTCAACTATGATGTACACTTTAATACAGCTGATACAGTATTAATGTTATATTGAACATGATCGTACATTTAATACAGCTGATACAGTATATTGAACTAATTGTTACATTGAACTATGATCGTACATTTAATACAGCTGATACACAGTATTAATGTTATATTGAACTATGATCGTACAGTTAATACAGTATTAATGTAACATTGAACTATGATCGTACATTTAATACAGCTGATATAGTAGTAATGTTACATTCAACTATGATGTACATTTAATACAGCTGATACAGTATTATTGTTACATTGAACTATGATCGTACATTTAATACAGCTGATACAGTATTAATTTTACATTGAGCTATGATAGTACATTTAATACAGCTGATACAGTATTAATGTTATATTGAACTATGATCGTACAGTTAATACAGTATTAATGTTACATTGAACTATGTATCATACATTTAATACAGCTGATTATACAGTATTAATGTTACATTGAACTATGATGTACATTTAATACAGCTGATACAGTATTAATGTTACATTGAGCTATGATCGTACATTTAATACAGCTGATACGAGTATTAATGTTATACTGAACTATGATCGTACAGTTCATACAATATTAATGTTACATTGAACTGTGATCGTGCATTTAATACAGCTGATACAGTATTAATGTTACATTGATCTATGATCGTACATTCAAACAGTATTAATGTTACATTGAACTATGATCGTTAATACCGATGATTACAGTATTAAGGTTACATTGAACTATGATCATACATTTAATACAGCTGATATAGTATTAATGTTACATTCAACTATGATCGTACATTTAATACAGCTGATACAGTATTAATGTTACATTGAACTATGATCGTACATTTAATACAGCTGATACAGTATTAATGTTACATTGAACTATGATGTACATTTAATACAGCTGATACAGTATTAATGTTATATTGAGCTATTCGTAACATGACATTGAACTATGTACATTTAATACAGCTGATACAGTATTACATGTTACATTGAACTATGATCGTACATTTAATACAGCTGATACAGTATTAATGTTATATTCAACTATGATCGTACATTTAATACAGCTGATACAGTATTAATGTTACATTGAACTATGATCGTACATTTAATACAGCTTAATACAGTGATACAGTATTAAGGTTACATTGAACTATGATCGTACATTTAATACAGCTGATACAGTATTAATGTTACATTGAACTATGATGTACATTTAATACAGCTGATACAGTATTAATGTTATATTGAACTATGATCGTACAGTTAATACAGCTGATACAGTATTAATGTTACATTGAACTATGATCGTACAGTTAATACAGCTGAATGTTACATTGAACTATGATCGTGATACATTGAACTATGATCGTACAGTATTAATATATTGAGCTATGATCGTACATTTAATACAGCTGATAACGTTATATTGAACTATGATTGTACAGTTAAATACAGCTGATACAGTATCAATGTTACATTGAACTATGATCGTACATTTAATACAGCAGACACAGTATTAATGTTATGTTGAACTATGATCGTACAGTTAATACAGTATTAATGTAACATTGAACTATGATCGTACATTTAATACAGCTGATATAGTAGTAATGTTACATTCAACTATGATGTACATTTAATACAGCTGATACAGTATTATTGTTACATTGAACTATGATCGTACATTTAATACAGCTGATACAGTATTAATTTTACATTGAGCTATGATAGTACATTTAATACAGCTGATACAGTATTAATGTTATATTGAACTATGATCGTACAGTTAATACAGTATTAATGTTACATTGAACTATGATCATACATTTAAAACAGCTGACACAGTATTAATGTTACATTGAACTATGATGTACATTTAATACAGCTGATACAGTATTAATGTTACATTGAGCTATGATCGTACATTTAATACAGCTGATACAGTATTAATGTTATACTGAACTATGATCGTACAGTTCATACAATATTAATGTTACATTGAACTGTGATCGTGCATTTAATACAGCTGATACAGTATTAATGTTACATTGATCTATGATCGTACAGTTCAAACAGTATTAATGTTACATTGAACTATGAATGTCGCTTAATACCGATGATACAGTATTAAGGTTACATTGAACTATGATCGTACATTTAATACAGCTGATATAGTATTAATGTTACATTCAACTATGATGTACATTTAATACAGCTGATACAGTATTAATGTTATATTGAGCTATGATCGTACATTTAATACAGCTGATACAGTATTAATGTTACATTCAACTATGATGTACATTTAATACAGCTGATACAGTATTATTGTTACATTGAACTATGATCGTATATTTAATACAGTTGATACAGTATTAATGTTATATTCAACTATGATCGTAACGTTCATACAGTATTAATGTTACATTGAACTATGACTGTCACTTAATACCGATGATACAGTATTAATGTTACATTGAACTATGATCGTACATTTAATACAGCTGATACAGTATTAATCTTATATTGAACTATGATCGTACAGTTAATACAGCTGATACAGTATTATTGTTACATTGAACTATGATCGTACATTTAATACAGCTGATACATTATAAATGTTACATTGAGCTATGATCGTACATTTAATACAGTTGATACAGTATTAATGTTATATTGAACTATGATCGTACAGTTCATACAGTATTAATGTTACATTGAACTATGATCGTACATTTAATACAGCTAAAACTTTAGACTGGCATACAGGCCCTTGCAAGTCTAGAATATATGGGAAGTCTAGATTACAATAGTTTCAGGAAATAAAGAAGTATGTGGGCACCTTTCGATTAAGTTTTATGAAATAGTTTCCTCTATAAAATAGGGGCGGTGGTGTAGCCTAGTGGTTAAAGCGTTTACTCGTCACGCTGAAGACCCGGGTTGGATTCCCCACATGGGTACAATGTGTGAAACACATTTCTGATGTCCAGCGCCGTGCGTAAAACTAAATTCAATCACTCACTCTGTAAAATATGTTCATTTCAGAGACTAAATGTGAGTCTATACCGTGTTAGCTTTTCATACAGAGCTAGAAAAAAACAAAGCCAGCACACTTGCTTGAAGCATTGTGCTACCTCGCATAAAACAACCTGTTGCAATAGCAGTGCAGACGGGGGAGATAGGGTGCGCCTTTCATTCTTGACCTGAATTCCTCCCTGCTGAGATTTCTCCTTGGTTGCCTGAATAGCACACTATACAGGGAAAATGTCATGCGCAATAGAGCTATTTGGGCAAGGGAGATAACTACTACTCAAACCCACGCGCAGCTTACAGCTTGAATAAGATTCTGTGCACAATACTGCATGGTAAAGCCGTGTAATATGTTTATAGCTAAAGGGGATAATCGCTCAGTGCAAAATAAGATATACTTACAAAGTATAGACTTATTATAATAAATTTAGCACAAGTAGAATATTATGTATATTCCATGAACCTCTTAAGCTTAATTTGTAAAGACAAAATGAAAGAAATGCATGGGATGTCTACATTACGAGTCGTGTCTTGAGTGATTCGTTAAAACATGTACAGATATAATCACTCCCAAATCATTTTGCAGGCTCCACGTTTTCGAGAAACCAAGATGGTGCTCTCCTTCACTGGGAAATAACTTGTCGAGAAGAATACGGACTCAGTGCTACTCCGTTAAGTCCTTTTCTCAAGCAGAATCGGACCGTGTTCATTCAACAGCCATCCTTCACAGGCACTCCTACCCTGTTTTACCAGTCGCAAGGTAAATTATACAGCATTAATTTGGAAAAAGTTCAACATAGTTTAATGTTAGTTTAAGCGTTTTATTTGAGGTTCCAAAAGGCAGCAGTGTGGAATGTGAAATAATGTGAATACATCGGTATGTCCCATCCGCTATATGTCCAGGGCGCGAATTTGGTAAACACACACTAATCCCTGCAGCCATTCACGCGGCTCTTGCAATCGGAAATTACCCGCCCTTGATTTTTATTTATATTTTACCGACCAACCAAACGTCGACATGAGGGAAAAGGAAGTGGTTAGGGGGGTAACCCGCCAGTGTTAATGTACAGGAAGACATTCTCTCCATCAAAAGGATGTATAAATGAGGGTTTTCTCCTGTCAGTCTTTCATTATAAAATTCCTCCCAAAATTTGATCATAATCAACGGGACTTGCCGTCGTGTTGTTGATATTACCAACCCAACATTTAGGCGAGTATGATATTCGTATTCTGGAACGTAAGACCTCATCCGTAGCAAATCAAAATGGCACAAGGAAATCAGGGAGAGTAATTATATGAGGAATGCTCCGAAGTTAATGCTGTAAAGTGGTATATTTCCAGGAATATTCAGTAACCACATTTTTACTTCCCAACACACAAATCGGATACAAATAGTAATTTGTCTTCAGCATAAGCAAGGTTAAGGTTTTATAGGCCATGTAATTGGTCGTTCTCCCTGATAGGAATTATATAGAAAGAACCATATAACGCAAGCTGAGATTCTTCTTACAATGATGTTTACTTCCAGGTTCTGAAATTACAGAATGACACAATATATCTAACTTGTATCTAACACTTACTGTCATGGAAACATTCAAGAATATCCTATTATAATGAGATTGCAGCCCAGCAATAAGTTCACAATACCCGACACAGTCATGCAATGACTGCTCCCTAGTTACACGCAACTTGAACAAGTCTAGCAAATTACAGATATTAAATTCCATATATTAAAGAGCGAATACATTTGTTTTTGTACTTTGAACCATTACATATGAAAGACGTGTGGTTAGTCTTAAGCGGAACACCAAATTCATTCTTAATAAAACGTATCGGTCATTAATACTGAGCGATCAAAAGTAGCCAAAACGTCGTCTGCTTCACTCTCGCCCGCCAACGAAACCACAGAGAGGTTACGTAACTCTGTCGCCAGAGCACTGCATCGAACCGTAAGTGACGTTATGTGAGGAAGGATTTCAGTTGCGTATAATGTGTGTACGAAGTTCGTCTTTTGCTGATTTCTCGACGTCAACGAACACATGCCGAATCGTTGCCTTGATACTTTGGGTGATGTTGTCAACATGCACAGATTTTATCCGGACCCCGCAGTTCGTGCTAAATGGGTTATGTTTGTGGGAGCGAAGCGAGCGTTGTGGAAGCCTGGAACGATATATTACTCGTGTTCAGATCACTTCACGGAAGATTGTTTTGATCGTTCCTTTGACCTACAATAAGCGTTGGGAATAAACTCGGGGTGTATATGACACAACTTGTAACATACCGATTTCTTCCTCGGAAGCGAGGTTGTGGTGGAAGTGACAATAATATTGTAAGTAGCATTATATTGACACCCACCTCGCTTCCAAGAGAGATATTGTTATGTTATAAGCTGTGTCATGCAAAATCCTATTGGTCATCAATCAAATACATACTTTACTACCAGTAAAGAGTAATTTTGATTTTGTAACTCGGTGAAAACAAACCTAAACAGCATTTATTCTCAGACTGGCGGATGTTCGCGACAGGGCGCCGCCATGTTTAAAAAGCGTGACGTCACGGGTTTAAGTCTGTTCGAGAATCAATGAGATTATGGTTTGTTTTCATTAAATTAGAAAATCAAAACTCTTTTTTTACTCGTAGTTAAATATGTATTTGAATCATGACCAAAGGGATTTTGCATGAAGTGACAATACTGCGCGATACATTTCTTGCTACATTCACGTGACTAACGTCCACTCACCAGTATGCAGATACTATACTCCGTTTGGCTCAAAAGCGGACCGATGAATTGCAATCTAACTCGAAAACTAATAAACATATAACACTCAATGAAACGCTGATCATAATCAAAACATCAGACCAACTCAGTGATTTGTTTGCAGAATTTATGTCCTAAAATTAAAAGAGTTGTTTAACAAACTATCATTAAAATATTGACACAGTTCACTATTTTTTACGAGGGGGGAGTGCAGAGAAAGGGACAGCCAGGTGTTAGAGAAGCACGTGCACAAGTGCCGACAAAGTTAATGATTCATTAACCTGTGCTGTGCCGTCTCCATCCTTTCTCGCACACCTGGCTGTCCATAACTCGTAGGCGTTGCTAGTTTGTCTAGGAAGGTACATGCTTCTTCCCAACGCATCTGAAGTTTCCATCGTTGCTCTACATAATATAATATTATTCTTCCTTCTGCATTAACAGATCTCTGTACAGGGTTACAGGGTATGTTTCCACACTCATTCCAGCCCCCTAAGTTTTAACTCTCACTCACCAATACCTCCTTCTGCATGAAGTGCAAAGTTCATTTTAAATTATGGACTTTGCATAAGATAATCCAGCAATAGACACAATCACGCAACGCAAACTACGCAACTCGGATATATTATCATGCTTCAACCAGTTCAGCGAGCATGATCACCCGGTCCCGTTATGCGCCTGCTACGATGTGAGCATGGTTTGTTTTTCTAACCCGGATCAATATAGTGCTTGGAGAAAGGAGTCGCTACACACAGCTGTCCCTTTATCAAGCGGCACGCTGATGTCGGAGCGCGAAGTTTTGTCAATATTAACGGGAGAAATAAATTGCTGCCGTCGCAAAAAAATAGAACTACCTCTTCAACTAAAATTGATATTTTGAGATATGCCACTTAACTGCATCTTTAACTGTGTCCTATTCTCGCTTCCAATAATTTGTACAGGACACCGATGGCACATGCAATAACTGCTCCCAACTCTGCCAACTCCACATTCTCGGAACAACCACTGTAGCACGCGACCTTCCGTGGCCGGGTTAATCAGTCAATAATGGTATGTAGTTATGCCCCTGATCTTCTGTTGTGGTAAGATATCAGTATATTAACAAATATCAATATGCCAAGAGCACTGAAAAAGCGTGCATTGAGCCAGTCACGTTTTTCTATTATTGAAAGAATGTCTGCTTGCCAACCAGGTCTTGTCACGTGATACAGGCGTCGCGCTCAGTCATCACGTAGCTGGATGCTGTCTCGCAAGGCGTGGATTCCGTGGCAGAGGTATTGACCTGTATTGCTGTGGATACCTCGACAATTCGTTTCGCAGGTAACGCTCGAAATGTGGTAAAATTGTTTGACTAAATTGGCATTACTGGGCTTGTGGATGGCAAGACGGTTGTGGTTGCCTGCTCATAATACTTGCCCCTGTGTTTAATCAGCATAGCCATGGACACAAAGCAAACGAGAAATAGCTATCACGTTCAGTTCAATCAGCCATACGTTGCAGCGTATCTCTGGTATGTGAACACTGACTTCGCGACCCGTGCAGATTCGGGTTAGAATTGGTCTTCAGTAACCCATGCCTGTTGTAAGATTCCACTATAACGGGATCTTGTGGTCAGGCTCGCTGACTTGGTTGACACATGTCATCGTATCCAATTGCAAAGATCGATGCTCTTGTTTTTAGATTACTGGATTGTCTGGTCCAGATTCGATTATTTACAGACCGCCGCCATACAGCTGGAATATTGCTGAGTGAGGCGTTAAACAACAAATTAACCAACCAACACTGACTTGCCATAAACGAGAAAAATACTCTTAAGGTAAGTGGCTGTAGCATGCAATACCATATGTCCAGCCAAAACAACATATGGGCTCAGGGACGTGAGGCGGACCATTCGATATGCAAGGTATACAGCTTCTTATTCCCACATGCTAAGGTTGCAGGAGTAGCCTATTCGCCTTTGTGCAGATACACGAAGGAAACCTATATTGGTTCGAATCCCAGTTGATAATGGTTTCTATGTTAGTCAGCGCTGTGTTCGTGGGTACCACCAAAATGATGAACTTCTTAATACCGCATCCCTTCGGGCTCTCGTTGCATCAAGCCGTAACCGGGATACTGTTCAAAGCGTCATTAATACATACTCACTCTCGCATTCTTATATATGTTAAATTGCAAGTAATTTCCGCACATTTCCATCTTGTACCAGGACCACAAGTACTACTACTACTACTACTACTACTACTACTACTACTACTACTACTAAAGCCAATGCTCAAATACCGGAAAACTAATTGCTCAAAACGAGGTCAAAGACACACATACGTTTGTTGTGCCAGATCCTCCTTGGTTTTTTTTGAGTAGTTAATCTATAAAATCACTACATTCAGAGTAGTGACCGCCTCACTGGAAGAATGATGTCTAACAAGAGAGCCCACAATCCCCGATCCTCTCACAATCGTTCATGTGTTCCGGCCAGTTCGGGAGTTCGGGGATGTATTAAAGGTATAGAGTTATAGAATTATATTTTGTGCCTTAACTTATATTTATTTATGTGACGGTGCTCTTGTGAGGACTCATGACGAAACCAAGACGTTTCATTGCTATTTGGAGGTTGTTGAACAGGATGTCGAAGGTTAAGTTGATACTTTTACGTCGATGTAAGGCTGGAAGGTACAGCGATGGGTTCCTGGGAACCGTGTGTCCACCGCCGTGATATTGCTGGAATATTTTTAAAAGCGGAGTAACGGAAAATGTGCGTCGCTGAAAATGAACTTTTATTATGCTTCTTTGGAATACGGCCATCCACCTCCTGAGAAATATCCCTGCCAACAAACCATTATTATAGAGCCAATGACATTATTTATGTTATTGAATTGTTTGTCTCTTTTACGGCCAGGTGACTAACAACATCACGGAAAAAAACATCAGACATATGTGGACTTTGACTTTGAAACATCTCGCTTGCCCCACCTGCAATAAATTTTATTATAATGTAATAATGATAT